ATTTCAGTATTGCACACAAAATAATAACTCCAATAATTCCAAAAAGATATTCAATTAGCTAGTTATATCAAGAATTTGGTTAAAGATTTGTTGATTCATAAAAATTCCTAATATCTTAATTACTGATTTTATTTTATTTTACATTTATGTTTTAAAAACTTTAAAATGCATTTTTAGTCTTTTTTATTTATTTAATGTTATACAAAATGGTTTATGTTTAGCTTAGAATTATTTTAATTAGTCTATTTTTATTATTAAATTGATAATTATTTATAAATTTATTGATTTTTAATAACACATAATGCAATTTATACATCGTAAAAGTCACCAGTCAGTTGTATTGACAAAAATATTAATTAGTATTTATATAGCAAACACACTACATAAATCTGCAGTTTCTACCACATAATTATAACACTTACTGCAACTCGATTTTGATACCACATGCTGCCAGTCTCCAACTCGAGTGGGAGCCTAAGTTTTCCCACTTGCACTGAAATCAAATCCATTATCTCCATTTTTACCATGCACTAGATTTTTAACCCGCGTCAAACGCAAGATTAGAATATATGAAAATAAAAAAATCACAATTTTTATAATATTCGAGAGGAAATAAAAACAACAAAGATCAAATGATATCTCCCATATAGATAAATTTATTTTGTCTTACAAATTTTAATCAGCATGACAATTAGATTGAATATAAGCATTTTTCATATAAATCGAATACGTTTGAGATTATGGATTATCTTAAACTTATTAAAACTCACCAAACCCATAAAATATCGCGTTAGTATGTAAATATTCTTAAATAAAAAATCAAAGAAATTATAAAAAGTGAAAATGATGATTTTTGAAAAAAAGAGAATATTAATGTTTGATTTGTAAAGTTGTACATTTATAACAAAAGCGCAACTTTAATTAGAGTAAAATGGATACAATTAAACGATATAAAAGAAAAGTCATTGTATGATCAGTCACATATGGTATTCAGATAGACATAAATACAATTTTTATAATGTAATTGAAACATCGATAAATGATTCAATGTTAAGAAATTGTGTTATATAACATTTAAAATATTAAAAAGTTATATTTTAGTTGGATATAAATTAGTAACATATGTATTTGTGAGTTCAAGTTAAAAAATTAATGTAAATATGTAGAGATATTCAACATGGCATATAAAATGAATTGAAATATTTTGATTAGTTAATTTAATTGAAGTGTCCCTTAAAATTCTAGAATATATGATTTTTTCACTTCGTGTCTCCTCAACCCCTTATATATATTAC